TCAAAAGGGCGTTTTCGTTCTTCAGCTGCTCAATCTGGGGGGGGGGGGGGAGGGGGGGGGGGGGGGGGGGGGGGAGAGGGAGAAGAGGAGAGGGAGAGAAGAAAGGGAAAAGTTATCCAGAAACAGCGACGAGGAAGGAAATGCGGGGGTGCTGCAAAAAGGGACACCGGTTGAAGACTGTCCTCTCAAAGGACCAGAACCGGGTTCGAATTGAACAAGATTAGCTAAAGCCCCCACTGAAATGAAAAGGGATAAAAATGGGTTGCCACCAGGCTATGGCGTTATCGGTTTCAGCGGGAACAGAGTGTACAAACTGTCCCTCACACACAGTTGTGCAAAGGGACATGCCCAGGCACGCACCCATGCAGACCCACACATTGGGTAAAAGCAAAGGGGTTCACTGTTTCTATTTTACACGCAAAGACAGGAACACACACCCGTATACAAGCAAACGCATTAATGCCCACACATCCTTACATAATTTGTAAAAGCAAAGGGGGGTGTGTCCTCTGAATGGTTCCAAAGTTTGGTCGGAGAGTTCCCTTTTGCCTTTTCACTACAGATAGGGACTTAGGACTAGATATTCCTGCTTACTGAATAATCAAAGTTAAAGGCAAACGATTACTACCCATTCCTTCTTGTTCTGAGGCACCGTTTGGCTGCAACGGCTGAAATTGCACTTTGCCACAGCAGCACCTTTGCTCCAAGGCCACGTGGGCTAGAAGAGGTCACTAAGGCAGGACTCTGATTTCCACACCCCGGCTTCTGCACCAAAATCACAGTTCACAACTATTACTACTACTAATTAATATTCTCCCCCCAGAGGTGCGGCGGGCCCCTACCCTCCCGGCTTTCCAAAAAGGTTTAAAGACCTGGCTCTGTCACTGTGCGTGGGGTGATATGGGCTCCACCCATCCCTGGGGGTGGTTCGCCCCCTGACGACGCTCCCTGGCATTACTCGCCAACTCTCCATCTTCTTGGAACCTATTTATTTTTAGGACTGTTTTTATGTTACATTTTAATGAATTTTATCTTGCTGTAAACCACCCAGAGTCATTTCATGAGACGGGTGGTGACAAATTTGATAGATAGATAGATAGACAGACAGATGTTTTATTGGTGCCCAGAATCCAAAGCCCTATTCCAAAGCAAGGGAGGAAGAAGATGGACTGGGCTGACCTACCTGTTGCCGTAGCAAGTCATTGTCCATCTGAAGCCTCTCGGCTTCTTTGAACGTCTCCTGCATACGCTGGTTCGTCTGGCGCAGCTCCCGGATGTAGTCGCAGGCTTTGGACAAGATGCCCCCCTTGCTCTGAAAGAGAGAAACCAAGAACAGCTCCCCAACTGAGCGACCCTTTTCTGCTCTGTCTCACCTTGGATGTGAACGAGACTTCACATCTTCAAGGCTTCCTTAAGATCATCGGTCTTCTCTAAGCTCCCATCCTTCTTTGCCCGGCTTCAAACATCCAAGGATTAACCGGATCTGGTTTTAGGATGGGATTTGCATATTTATTTGGGGCTGGCTAAAATATTTGTTTGAATGTATAGAACTTGCTATTGCAGTGAAACAAGAAGCATGAAGCAATAACAAAAACAGAGTCTCTTTGAGCCAACCTCAATGCCTGGTGACTTCAGGGTTGTGTCTATATCGTTTTCTTGAAAACAACACAGAAATGGTTCACCACAGACTTTTCCCAAGTGCTTGAGGCTGTTCCCCCCTCGCCCCCCATTTCCCAGAGTTTTAGGACCACCTATGAGCCTGGTGGCCTCCCATTCAAGTACTAACGAGGTCCAACCTGCTTAGCTTCTTGAGTTTAGCCAAAACTGGCCAGCTATGGCCACAAACAGTTATAGCCCCAAGATTTCTCAAGTGCAAGAGAGGTTTCTTCTGGGGTTCTTCTCAGCTAAGGAGGAATCACTAGGAATAAAAGTCTGCAAGACTCTGGAATTCTTCAAGCAGGAACTTTTGATTATGATTGTGCAGGTGATACAAATGTACTAACAGCTCAATTGCATGCCTTCTTCCTTCTACTATGTTGCTGAAATTATCTATCCTCCATCAGATCCCCAGCAGAAATGGATAAGCAGGCTTGGGAAAATGGGACCTTAGCCTCCCAACTATTCAGGTAAGCTATTTCAGAAGCCTGCAGAGGTAGATCCCATTGCTGCCACCGCTGGAACTAGTCAGTAGACAGCCTGCCTGTTCAATGGGGCAATTAGAGGTCCCAAGGATAGGTCCAGTGGTAGTACTTATCAGGGTTCCACACCAGAATTCATGTAGTCTCTGCTACCTCAAAGATGCCAATAGTTTGGAATTTCAAGCCCAGGATTATTTGGTATAGCCGTTATTATCAAAACTACAGTGAGAGAAAGGGATATGCCAACCTTCTTCCTAATTACCACCCCCAAAAGATTGGACTGTAACTTCTCATCATCTTCAACAGGAAGTCCAATCCACGGGTAAAGCAAAGGTGATAGATGAGGACAAGCAATGCCCCCACAACTCAATACTCTAGCAGGAGAGGATGTTTCCACAAGGTCTAATCTGACCCCAACAGCACTTGTGGCTACAATTACTCTGAATGCATCTATAGGCAGGACAGTGAGGATGTAACTCCAAAAACAAATTAAACGAGATAAACAATCATGGAAAATTCATCTGGGAAAACCAATCCGAGAAAGCCTGCAGCCTGACTGGAACCACGGAAGGGTGACCTGGGATGGGGTATCTCCTCATGAGAGTAGCCTAACATCTCTTCCCCAAAGCAAAACATTGTTCCTCCTGAGCTACCCACCCCCCAAGTAACTGCCCTCACCGCCCCTGTCTTGCTGTTGTCTGTATTGCAGTCTGGAATGATTTTTGACAGCTGTACAATCCAATTGTTGATCTTGTCCCGCCTCCTCCGTTCAACTAGAAAAAAGAAACAAGACGCTGATCAAATGTGGTAGCCTGTTTGACAATAACACGTGGAAGGATGGAATGACTGGCTTTGGAGGAGGAGAAACATGCACACATACAATTATTACACAGTCAGACAGATCAGAAACTGAAGGTTCAATCTAATCTGGGCAACATGTGCTCCATCAGATGTTGCTGTACTACAATTCCCAGCATTCTTCATCACTGGGTAGGATGCCTGGAGCTGATGGGTATTGGAGTTCAGTATCTGGAGAGCTTTCTTCCTTTGCAATTTAGGATAGAAGAATTGGAAGAAGAGAAAGAAATTGGTCTTTCTAAATCATGTTTTACAGCAACGTAGTCCATCCTCATCTGATTAGGGCACAATTTTATTTCAAAAAAAGAGACTGGGGGCAGTTTATCCAGTTCGATGGTCTGCCTACCTTCATTGTGCTGAGCTCTTCGTCTCTCATCTCGGGGCGTTCGTGTCCCGTCCATTTTTCTAAAGTTTGACGGGAACAACATGAACAAATCGGAATGAGACAGCAGCTTTCAGAAACCCTGTTCCCATCTCAGAATCAACAGAACTTTGTCTATTACTATAAAAAGTGAAGTTAAAGATGTCAAATCTCAGCCAACTCCTCTTCCTTCAACACAGATAGCCACACCTAAGAATTGTTTTCCCATTTTTTGGGAGCAGCTTGTCCCTTGCAGTCATTCTGAATTGGAAGGAAAAGGAAAATTAACCCAGTGTTGATTGCTAAAACGGAGTTTGTTTCTCTAAAGGTTGTTAGAAATGCAACAATCAGGGTGAATCCTTTCTCCATATTTAGTGGCAATGCTGCAAGGCTCAACAATTTTGGAAAATGATTTATGTCCTTTTTTTTTTCTCTTTTCTCAAACATTTTAAAAAAAACGATAATTAAAAAAAGGAATTGGAAGAAAAAGGAATGTTCACATTCATTTCTGGGAGAAAACAGGTATAGTTGTGTCACAATTCTGAAACACATGTCCCCTGCCCCCCTCAAATTTTGGAGAGGCTTTCAAGACTGAAGTCAGTCCTTTGAGGTAGGCCAGGTCAAGAAACAGGTATGGCAAGGATTCCAGGACTGATCTTTATTGTAATAAGGTAAAACAGTGTTTCTCAACCTTGACAACTTTAAGATGCTGGCTGGGGAATTCTGGGAGTTGAAGTCCATACATCTTAAAGTTGCCAAGGCTGAGAAACACTGAGGTAGAATAACAAAACCATGAGAACCATGAAAGCCTGTTCACATTTCTCTCTGTCCCTGTATGTCCCTATGTGTCAGGCCTAGCCCAAGGAACTCCAAGAGACAATCCAAATTCAGTCCAGTTATGTTTATTAGCTACAACCTCT